GAAGTCAGATATTGAAGTAACTACAAACATGCTTTACCTTCTATTCAAAATGATTTGGGAGGAGGAACAAGTGCCGATGGACTGGAAAGAAGGGCACCTCGTGAAGATTTATCTATCTATCTATCTATCTACTTATTTGTTTGTTTATCTACAAACATTTCAATCTTATTTTTGTGTTAACATACATGCACTTTTATTATTTAGTTCATTTATTTACTGTAAACAAATACTTGTGTTTTTATTTTTCCCATTTTCAAGTTGAACATGATGATTTTGACATATAACAAGTTTGTTGTTTGATTTCAATTATTCTACAAACAATAATATTTCTTCATAATATGATCAATTAAATAATGAATAATGAGGAATATGGATAATCAAGACATATGTCCTGTTAGTTCCCAGTTGATTTTATTTTGATCTTTCTTTGTCGAAATTTATTTTATTTGGTTACAAACTTCAAATTTTTATTTTCTCAGAAATGTTTTGTTAGTGAGCGAGGCAAGACCGATAGGTTCTGTGTTCAAATCTTACGAGGCTCAATCGTGGATGTGCACTGTTGAGAAATCTCGCCTAAAGGCTTAATCCATAAGACATTGGAACAAGGTTAGGAGATGCAGTTTCATGGTAGCCGGTGACGAATAATTAGTTCATATGCCATTTGTTTCCTTAGGATCCTGAAGCCCATGTACACCATTGGTTTAGAATCAGGGTTTTCCAACTCCTCTTGACGAACCCTCCGAATTCAACATACCAGTTGAAGCATTGGACTTTCGGTTTTCGTCCTCCTAATTTCGTAAACAACAGTGATGCTGAGAGAAGTTAGTGAATACGACTTCAGTGGCAATGAATGTATACCGCTTCCATGTGAGAGCATCTCTGGCCATACTAAAGGATTTGTGGGTACATACGTAATATTTATGTAATAATCATCATGCAGATTTAACAATTTTGAAAAATTGTAATAAAAAGTGAATATTTGTCGGAAATTAGACAAAGACCTTAGTTAGGGTTTTGTTCAATTTAGTTTCGATCAGGAATAACGTACACATAATCAATTTAATACACATAGTTCCCTTTGTCATCTTGAAGAAGGCAAGAAACAACATTTGAGCAGAATAGTGTGAATTCATTCTATTTTGTTTAGTTCTCGTCAGCTGCTGACAACCTGTGATATTTAAAATCAGAATTACATAATGGTTTAAATTACTTACGTGAAAAGGGTTTGGTTAGAAGTGATATTGAAAACACATTAGTATAGTACAATAAGGGTGTAAATAAATTGAATAGACTGAATAAAATATTGTCAACATATAACTTATACTAAAGTACATTCTACAATATTGATTGTTACAAGAATATAAAGGACTAGAAACAAGAAGACAGAAAGTGTTTAAAAAAAGTTTTCTAAGCTATAACGAAGGAATATATTCATCAAGGCAATAATAGATTAATAACCAGATCCTTTTCAACACAAATCAACTTTTCGACCCCTGATAGCAACGGTTTCAGTAAACTTTATAAGACTGAAGTTTGCCTGTTTATTGGTCTCATTGGAAGATTTTAAGGTATCGACCTGATGTCTTGTATCCAAGAGATTTTCAGTAATTGGATTGTATAAAGTCGTTGTGTTTTTTCTGGTTCTAAGGCTTTTCGGGACATAATAAAAAAAATAAGATATTCTCCCATTTCCTGTTCGGCCAATGTAGCTACTTTGGTAGGTACACGGAAATAATTAGTAATAAACACTTTTGGCGATCACATGAAAGGGGTACTTTTCGACCTTACATTGGGTCACTGAATATGGTGTTTTATACAGAATTAATAGTTTAGTTGTCAGGTAAGTTTTGGCTAATGTCATATTAAGTCTCCTGGTGACTGTGGTTGTCAAGTCAACATCTTTGAAGTTAAGATATATAGACATTGGTTTTTTATTAGCTGTAGACACAGCTATCTTGTTTTCTTTAGATTTTCTTACATTTGTAAACAGATTTCTATGTGTAGCAGTTATTTTTTAGGCATTTTTCAAAGTTCATTAATTGTCCTTGCAGTATGTCAGTAGAACATATCCTATCTATCCGTAAAATATTATTCTGACCAACTCTTTCTTCTAAGTGATCCGTTAAAAACCATGAAAATTTAAGTAAAGATCATTCCAAGTACTATTTCATTATGCATAAAGTTGAAATGTCCTATCTTCCTTTCACTGTATGGCAATATCTTTGTATAATCCTTATTGTACAATATACTTTAATATAAGTTATATGTTGACGATATTTTATTCAGTCTAACCAACTTGTTAACACCTTTTCTATACTATATTAATGTTTTCTCATAATAACTTCCAACTAAACTACTTCATTCACTTGCTGTTATTTTACCTGTATCTTCCCATTGTTATTTAGAACTGCAAACGATTAGTCTCATGTTGTCAAGTGAATACAAGCTTCACCCCATTGCACAAGCAGTTGGCTATCAGGACTCAGTAGTTAAGTGGATAACGTGATGTCGTCTGAAGCGGACGGCACTGGGTTCGAGTCCCAGAGTGAACATCAACTTTGGGATTCAGGTACATCCAGCTGGTGAGTCCCAAATTAGACGAAATGTACGTCTTGGATTCCACTGCTGGCTACTATCCATCTTTGCTTAAACTACTTCATGTAAGTAATTTAAACCCATTATGTAATTATGACTTTTAAATATCATAGGTTGTAAGCAACTGACGAGAACCAAATGAAATAAAATGAATTCATACTATTCTGCCCAAAATCTTTAATCTACCCAAGTTCCTAAACCATGTAAAATTTTCACAATAAATTTCGATACATGAATCTATAATCTCACAGCCAAAGAGTTACTTAAGGATAATAAAACTTTTAGAGATCTATTGTAAAGCTTTTAGCAATAGTGTCTGATGAAGGAATACGATTCTTTCAATGTAGTTTATTGAAAGAAGTATATATCTTCTAATATTCATAGAAAAGAATGATATCAAATAAATAAAATTAATAAGAGTGTTAAAAAACTTCTTGTGTTTTGTCCATTTCATCTTTGAAATTGATGAATGGGTCAAGTTGGTTATTCTTATATTCAATTCATGACTTGCTTAATTTTCTGTCAAGATTACTCACTGAAATAACCGAACTTCACCAGCATACTTACTTAATTAGACCTCTTACTCTTCCTGGAGCCCTCCTTTGGTTACTGCCAGTCGCAAGCCCGGATGAAGGAGGAGAGTTGGGCATCGAGTTAGCGACCCTAACCCGTAGAACAAAACGGTAACCAGAACTTTAACAGCATTATAGATTATTTCACCTGAAACTGTATAATCGGTTAACAGGCATTTTAAAAAAATTAAAGAAGGAACGAATCAAGTGAAGAAATTTCATTTCATTTAGTTCTTTATCATAGCTCTACACTAATGCATATCTATGTCTATATGATTTACATTAATGAAATAATACTCATCGAGCAGATATGCTACGCAATAATTATATAATGACATATCAATTATAAAATAACATTGAATAATTGGAAGAAAGAGGATTATATTAATCAGTAATCACGCTAGACCGATAATTCCTGAGTTCGAATCCCGCGAGGCTAGATCGTGAATGCGCACTAATGAGAAGATTCATACTAAGACGAAACGACTGTTCAGCGCTCTTAGGTTTTCCATGGTGGTCTAGCTTTAATCGACTCATGAATCCAACTATTAAATAATCAGAATAATTCTTCGAAAATCCAGCAGTTGGTACGTAGCATAATATAAAAAAGAGAAGAAGAAACTAATAAAATATTTTGATGAATAATCAGTAGTATAAGAGTTATGTAAAAATCAAGGGATGAATGTTGAGAATAAGTAAAATAAAAAAAGTTGAAGAAATGCGGAAATAATTTATCAAAGTTCTGCTTTAAACTCTGCTATATCGATAGCCAAGGTAGCGACAGTGATTGTACAAACTTAATTTGGATGCAAAGGTTCCGTTTGTGAACACGGATTGAAATGACTTCAGTTATGTGCACAAGATGAACACGTAAACTACGTGGCAAATTTGATGGATTACGGTGGATAAATCTTAAAAGTTTTATTGAAATTCAACTTGATTAATTGTGTTCATTAAGTGAGCGAGAATAGAACTCTTAATCATTATTACCTATCTTTTACTAAATCGCAACGGATGATGTTGTGTTATATGATGACGAACTTGCTGAATTGTACGCCCCATATATATAGTGTAGAGCCGTGGTGAAAAACTAATTGAAAAGAAGTTTCGGCGAGACTATAATTTATGAACGAACAAATCACGTATAAGATAATAAGTCTCGGATTTTGGTGCGAAATTCATTAATCCATCTGGATAAATAGAGTTTTGGCATTATAACTTATATCAGTTCATGATGAAAATCTTAAATCTAATTCCTAACCTTAACCGTCAACTGTAAATCACAATTCGAGGTGTTCACACAGGTTTATAACCCTCATTTGTTTCTATTTATTAGGTGATCCCTCTCAAGGTCAGTATAACGTTGCTCAAAGGTTGTCGATAAATTATAATCTCACAAAAACTTCTTCATTCGATTCGTTCCTTCTTTATTTTGCTAAATGTCTAATTGTGAATTTTCATTATCAAGTAAATAAACTATTATTTACCACTATTTACATCAAATAAATAGACTGAAATTAAATTTAATTCTAATTGGTTATTTTTTAAAAATCGACTTAACAACCAAACAAAATGAAGTAAGTTGACATGACAACAATGTTGTATCTAATGCTAACCAATCAATGAACTCCTTTAATTTATTATCATAATAAATTTTAAGCACCGTTTCCATTTCATGTAAAAAAAGAATTACAAAAATAAACCAATGAATAGTTACTATTCAATAACCAATCAAATCTATTTGTACAATAGGCATTACATAATAATAATAATACTAATAATAATGACGGTAGTAGTAGCAATGGTAGTTGTTAGACAATCAAAAACATTTCATGAAAACAACAACAATAACGCCCCCCCCATAGACACACACACACACACTCACCAGTGATATTCGAAATGATCAACTGAAGAAATCATTTAATGATGAATAATTATTGAATCAAAATCATCAATCATTTCATTTATTATTGAATTCGATTCATTATATATATATGTAAAAAAAAAATTGATTATGACTATTGATCTGATGATAAATAATAATCAATTACAATCATGTAATAATTTACATGAAAGAGATCATGTCTCATTTATACAATCGATTATATCAGTAATTCTATTAAGTCTCATATGTTTATTAGGTATTATTGGAAATAGTTTAGTAATTATTGTTTATTGTATAAAACCTAAAAATTATACTAATCGTTATATGATGAATCATCATACAATCATAAATAGTAACCATATGAAATCAAATATCAATAATAATAATAATAATCCCTTGGATACTAAAATTACAAAAAAATTTGGCAGTCATTCAATTTCATTTAAATCATATAAATTACCATTATATAAAAATAAATTTAATCAACATAATTTAATATTATTATTGGCATTTATTGATTTATTCACATGTGTTTTTATATTACCATGGGATATATATCGTGTTGCTAATTATGCCTATGATGAAACTATTCCTATCTTATCTACTATACATAATGATAATAATTTGAATCAGAATAATTCTTCTGTAAACCGTATTGGTATAAATTTTAATAAAGAATTATATACAAATTATCAATTAAATGTTATCTTAACATTATTACGTAATATTATATTTGCATGTGAAGGTAGTGTATTAACTGCGATTGCATTTGAACGTTATATGATACTTGTTAAACAAGATTTATGTAAATCATTTATATGTTGTCATCATTTATTGAATAATAATAATAATAATAATAATAATAATAATAATAATATCACTTCATTATTTCATAAAGTTCCATCTACTTATCATACAAATCATGATAATAACTCTAGTGAAGTAAGAACATCATCAACATTAATGAATGTCACTCATATGAAAGATAAGAATCATCAATTATGTTCATCGAATACATGTATTACATCAATATTAATGATAGTGATTATTGGAACATGTTTATTTGAATGTATATTGATTATATTAGAATTAATGAAATGGAATTGTCAATTGACTGAACAATTACGTGAATTAATTAATCAAATTTATATTCTATTAACATTTATCTCATTTATTATTATAACATATTTATATGTAAGAATATTTAGAACAGTTAGGGAGAATGATTTACGGAAACAACGATGGTTAACTTCTACTACTACTACTACTAATAATAATAATAACAATAATAATAATAATAGTAATACTAATTATTCATCAATGAAATTATTGAATAAATCCAATTCATTTATACAATCATCCATCTATAATAATGAAATAGAACCAGTATTAAAGTTGACGAATGAAGATGAAACTAATTCAGTAGTTATGTTCAAGGATCCAAAAATACATCATTGTGATACATCACAATCTATAAGATATGGATTACCATTTAGATTAGTGAAACAATTAAGTTGTGATCAAGTCATTACAAAACAACCAAAACAAGAACGAGAACCACCACCACCATCACAACAACAAGAAAAACATTGTTATCATCAACATCAATTACAAACAACTATACAATGGAGTATATTAAAAAGACGTATTCTTTTAAAAACACCATCTATATCAACATTATTTGAAAATTCAAAAGTTAAACAAGAATCTAATAAATCTATGATATCAAAATATAATAATCAATCTACTGGAACAAAAACGACAGCGACAATACCGTCTCCAATATCTCCATTATCTGTAAATCGTTTATTATCTAAACGTGTAACACGTAGTCATCGTACAGGTTTAATGATATTTATTTCTACTGTAATATTTTATGCTACATTATTTCCTGTTTTATGGGTACATTTTAAATTTTGGTGGAAATATACCACCAAAACCACCCCTACCACTACCACTGCAATCACCACCAGCACCAACATCACGAATTACTCTACAACTAATAGTATTCATCAAATCAATTTATTACATAATATGACTAAATTTATTCTAAATAATCAAGAGAATGATGGAAGTTTTATGACAACTGTACATCATGAATTTTATTATGTAAATAATGCTGTGAATTTTTTTATTTATTCATTATTTAATCAAAGTTTTCGTGCAAGATTAAAACGTTTACTTGCTAAATATTGAATATTGAATAATCATTCAAACAAAATTAATGAAAGTTTATTCTTTATTATTGTGTTTTATATATTGACATATTGAAAAGAAGCAAATAACCAAACAAATAATTCAATCATTTTTGGTTAGTTCATTTTTCTTCTTCTTTTACTTTAACATAACTACTCATAAATATGAATATATAAGTAGTTAATTAAGATTGAATAAAAAAATGATTGATTGATATTGGATGAATAATATACTGAGATGTTTGTCTGGTTAACGTTTTCTTTTTTTAAAAAAAATTTTAATAGAGAGTTAGTTTTCTATGAGATGAAGTCATTAACCTAATGTTCAACATTCCAGATTTGAAACCGACAGTAGTTCAAAAGGGACTTCAAGTGGAGAAGAATTGATACAACAATTGGATAGAATTATGAAGGAAAGCATAGGATAGAGTGGATTAGAGAATATTGATTGATTGCTTACACTCTATTAGGGGTAACAGGCATAAAGAAATGAATGAGTGAATGAATGAATGAATAGTGAGATTTTGACTGATATTAAAGTAGACTAATGATCGGGGATCAATTTTTGGATAATTAATGCTTGATATGTAAATTTTAGTTGTGATCATCTGGATTTCTTATTACTTTTAATAAAATATTAAATATAACTAAACATTTTACCTGGTCAAAATGTACATGTTAATTAAGAAGTTCATGATTTGTTAAATTATTAGTGGGATCATTGTAAGTGATTCAACACTATTTTCAACAGGTTGACTTTGACTAAAGTATCATTGTAAACCACAAAATACTAGATAACACTTTCATCTTGGTAATGGGATAACTCATTAACATACACTCATTAACACACTTCAATTTAATGCCGAAACATTCAAATCTCACAGTAAGTGCCTAAATGTTAGATCATTAACATTAGATACAATAGCAAATAATTACAGTTTAGATTAATTCATGCAGTAGCATGAATGTCATTCAAAATAACTGATGGCAACTATTCATCTCTTGACATTTCTAAACTCTGCGATTCATGACAGCTCATTGGAAATTTAAGGACTCTTCACAAAATAATTTATTAACCATCATGATTACATTATTCATGAATGGATTTCTTTGTGTTAATTTGTGAGATAATAATTCACTGATGACAATGGTAGATGTGTCGCTTAATTAATTGAGGCTAGACATTAACACCATTAGATGACGACCGGCTCAGTGGTCTAACTGTTAAGGAGTCGCGCACGAGACTGATAGGTCCTGGGTTCGAATCCCGCGAGGCGGTGTCGTGGATGTGCATTGCTGAGGAGCCCCAAAAAGAGACGAAACGGTCATCCAGTGCTTCCAGGTTTTCCATGGTGGTCTATTGAAATTACTAGAAATATTTGTTGATGAATTTTAACTGTTGTAATTCTAGTTAGAAACCATTATCAGTCAGGTTCAATCATGTTAACTAAAACTAAGTTATCAAAGATGACAACAAATATTAGTTAAAAACATTCGATACCAAATTTTTATTCACCCATTGATTTATAACAAATTCAACTAGAGATGTGAAGTAATGAAGTCTCTACTGTTCTTTAGTATCCAGGACCTTTTCCAACCGTTATCAATTTTTTTCTTAAAACGCTAACTATTTTGTTCCACTAAACCGAAGAGTACTTACTTACTTACTTTCGCGTTTTACTCCCAATGGAGAATTGGCCGACGACCAGCACTCTACAACTCACTTTGTCCTATTACTTCCTTTTCAGTTCTATCCAATTCTTGTTCATTTTTTCTCATGTTTATCTCCATTACTCGACATGTGTTCTTTGGTTTTCCTCTCCTCCTTTGGCCTTGAGAATTCCAGCTGAGGGATTGCTTTGTGACGCAGTGCAATGCTTTCCTCAATGTATGCCCTATCCAGTTTCATCGTTTCTTCTTGATCTATTCCTCTGCTGGGATCTGGTTTGTTCTCGAACCGAAAAGTATCTTCGATTAAACATTCATTTAGCTAAAAATTTCTATTTAATCAATTACGATTCACAATACTGTAGATCTAAACAGTACTTAAAGAAATGTCAGATATTTTTTAAAATATCAACACTGTTTGATGATGACTACGTAACAGATATTGATCAACTATTAATGAATTAGAACAAGAAGAAAGATTCTAATAGAATAGTATGAATTTATCGTATTTCGTTTGGTTCTTATCAGATGCTTACAACCTGGGATATTGAAGAAATATAATTACATGATGGGTTTAAATTACTTACATGAAAGGGTTTGGTTGGAAGTGATATTAAAGGCATATCAGTATAGTATAGCAAGGGTGTAAATAAACTTAATGGACTGAATATTGTACCTTATATGAAAGAAGTTCCCACAACATTGATTGTGACAACAGTTCAAACCGTTAGAAACAAGTGATTATATAATGAGTAGTAAGTGCTTATAAGAATACAATGAGTAGAGCTCAATTGATAAAATAAAATAATTAATTTGAAAGATAGTTGAAATAAAAATCTCACTAATGTAATGGTGGTCTACCTTCAACTGACTCATGATCTTAACCATTGAAATTACTACAATCTCCACAAAGCCCATCTGAAATGCAATATAATTATGATTTTGTAAAGAGTAAGAATAAAGATTCTAGTAGATTAGCATAAATTCATTTTTATTTCATCTGATTCTCACCAACTACTTACAATTTGTGATATTTTGATAAGCATAATTAATCGTTTAAAGATCCCTATCATATTCAATGACTAGTATTTGAGTGAAGAATATTCTTTTTGATAAATTCTCTTCAGGTTCTACAATTATCCCAACCACCTCATCAGTTGAGATGGCTGGGACACGTGTAACGTATTATCAACCACCGACTGCCTCGACGTGCAATGTTCAGTGGTATAGGAGTAGGTTAGGAGAAAGCTAGGGGCGGCCAGACCAAAACATTGCACAAATCGATGAAGTCATTGACACGTGAACTGAGCCATATACGTAGATGTAGACTATCTGGTTGGGATCCGCGAGATGATAGCAACTGATGGTTAGAGACCTTGAATGACATGGATCAAAATCGTTTGGAATGGCACAGGTGTATCCACTCTTAGTGTTGTTCCAAATTATAATCTTCAGAATTCTTCTCGTCTTTTTTTCTCTCTTTCCAAATTTATTTCAGTGGATAGCATCTTCAAACCCTAATGTTTCCGATTACTGCTTATAATTTTACTACCTCTACGACTACGGGATTTGAATAGACAATTGTATTTCTATGCTAATGCGGTATGGCAACTAGAACTGATATACGTACGTATGAAGTCACAATTGATTGATCACTGGGTGGTGATCAATGTCATGCTTGTCTAGTCCTTATCAGTGCAGATCGAATGTTATCGATCATGTTGCAATGTGGCCACCAGTCTAGGTGACTCGACACTGCGGGCACCATCTAAATCTCAGTACGTACGAAGTTCCACGTCGTCGACTGACTGACTGACTCAGTGATGTTTAATAGTTGAATTCATAAGTTGATGTAAGTTAGGCTCAGTAGTCTGGAGGTTAAGCATTCGCTCGCGAGACCTAAAGGTCCATAGTTTAAATCCCTTAAGCGAGATCATGAATATAAACTGTTATAAATGTTTTGTTAGAACATCAGTGACTTGCAAAAAAACATTACTAACACAAATTGTTCATGTATCTGAAATGCTAATGCGAAAAGAAACACACACAACACCGATAAGATTTATAAAATCCAATTACCTGTAAGAGGTCAATAAAAACAATAATCATGTAGACAAAGGGCATTCTGTATTTATTAGTGCTTAATCATAATCATAATATTATTATTAATAACAAACTTGATTCATATTCAGTAATTTACTGAACATTTATGTTAAAAACAACAAATTAGTACATTACATGATTATGAAGGTTATGTCTGTTATATTTTCAAACAAATGTAAGAAATATTCTTGTTATATCCGCATTGTTTATTAATTATACTTGAAAAAGACAAGGAACTACTTCAGTTCTGAGATGGAAGCTGATCTGTTCACTTCTATACGAGGCTGATGACGATGGTAGTCGATCAACGACAGATATTGAGTATCTTGAGTAGACAATTATCTATAAATATTTGTACCTTTTTAATGATGTTTGTCATAGTTCTCGAAGTTTTAGATCCGTATATTCGAACTGTTTTGATGTTCGTATTGAAGATTCTCACTTTGATGTTGGCTTGTAGTCAGTTGTTTTGAGTTCCATATGTTGTTCAGCTGTAGGAATGCTGTCCTTGCTTTGCCAATCCTTGCCTTTACGTCTGCATCAGATCCTCCTTGTTCATTGATGATGCTTCCCAAGTATGTGGAGGATTCGACATCTTCCAGAGTTTCGTCATCAAGTGTGACTGTTTTGATGTTCTCCGTGTTGTATTTGAGGGTCTTGGTTTTCCCTTTGTGTATGTTGAGGCCTACTGATGCAGAGACTGCTGCTTCACTGGCTGTCTTCATCTGCATCTGTTCGTGTGTACGTGATAGGAGGGCTACGTCATCTGCGAAGTCCAAATAGTCTAATTGATTTCGAGCTGTCCATTGAATTCCGTATTTTCCTTCAGATGTCGAGGTCTTCATAATCCGGTCGACCACCAGAAGAAAGAGGAAGAGAGAGAGTAGACAGCCTTGTCTGACTGCGGTCCTTACTGGGAATGAATCTGTCAGCTGTCCTCCATGCACGACCCTGCACTGTAGTCCATCGTATGGATTCCGTATGACGTTGAAGATTTTCTCAGGTAAATATACATTACACCCAGATAAATAAATGTTATAACGAACAGAATAACACACTGAAAAAAACGAGTCAAAATTCGATTCCGCTTCTTTATTCCGTCATATCTGTTTTTATTATTGTCTAGATATCACATGGATAACATTTTAGTCAGTCATTCAATTCATATTCAAGATAAAATCTCTGAAATATAACCAAGCATATATTCAATGAATAATTCTTCGAATTCAT